TATATATATATGTATCATCCGTAGTATATCAAATAGGTTTACACTTTCTCTTTCCCATAGCCTACAAAACATGGTGTCCCACCCTCTAATGTTCTTCTCCCTTTGCTATTGTCTCCAGCAACGAGTTCTACCCCAACAACCATCTGAAGGCTCTGAGACGGAGGACCAATGGTCAGTATGTCCTGTACTTTGAGCCCACCACGTCCAAGGATGGACAAACCACCATCAACTACCTGGTAGGTCACTCATCATCAACTACCTGGTAGGTTACTCACTGCTCCTTAAAGAACTGTTAATGGTTCCTTATAGTTCCAACATTACCCCATTAGGCTTATAAGCTGTTGATTTTGCCATTATTGTTGTTTCCCTATTGTTTCCTCTTTTTCCTCTCGTAATATTTTATGTTGCTGTTTGTTGTTTGTTGTTGTTGTTGTTGTTGTTGTTTTTTGTTGTTGTTGTTGTTGGATGGGTTTTTTTAGGGGGGGGGTTGCAACTGTTGTAGTTGGTTCTAAGGTCATTGCTGCTGTTGCTGTTGTTGTCTTTGTTGCCGTCAGTAACCACCATCATACCCATTCCCCCGACAGGAACCCCTGAAGGTTGTGTGTGCTCAGAGAGTCATCCTGGCCATGCCCGTCTACGCTCTCAGTCAACTGGACTGGAAAAGTCTCAGGTCAGGAATTACAACCCTTCTCTTGTCCTACTTTTATGTTACTTACATGAGGGGGGGGGGCGGGGCGGATGTGGAGCTAAACTGCTTCACTTTATCTACCTTCATGTTGGTTAGATACGTGTGGGTAGGGATATCTAAACCATATCTTGACCTACTCTCATGTTATTTAACCCTATCCGTACGCCCTGGGGACATTTTGTACCCCTGGGGTTTTATTCTTTACATTTTAGATAAAATACTTCTAGTGCAAATATCTCTTTGAAACTTTCAGTATTTCTCAAAAAATCATTTTGACAGACTGCTATGCAAAGCATACAGATCGGATTAACGAGCAAATTTCCTTTTTGGAAAGTGGGGGCACAGAGTTCCTCACGTCGTATGGATACGAGAGTAGAACGCGACGTACGAATAGGGTTAAACAATATTGCTAGGTTTTGTCTTTTATTTTATATGCTTTTGTTTTTGGGTTGTTCTTTGTTTCCTTACTTTTTCTTTTTTCATTTTGTTTGCTTGTTCGGTTGGGTTTTTTTTTTCTTTTTTAATGATCCTCTATTGTTTGATTTAGACCCCATGGTCTTGAACTTTCGACTCACTCAGTTTAGATACCTCCTCCCGCAACACAACGCACTTGAAAACGTCAGTGAATCGAGACAATGCGTCAAGTTTTTACAAAGTGGAGGAAATGTAAAATCTTTCAAAGTCCATATCTCACAACAAATATAGCATTTTTTTCAGTATTAATAGCACGGGGACTTAGCTGGGTATTCATGTGCTCGTTAACAGAGAAAAAAGTTCGATAAAATAAAAACTTAAAGTGGTTTTTCTTCATTTTCTACTGGGTGCTCCTGCTTGCTTTTGGATGCTCAGTTCTGGGTTTGCATTTTAAAAAAGAAATTATATACAGTATAGTACATATAGGAATGCTTACACAAGCTGTTTTTTTCTTGAGACAACTTACCCAATTCATCGAAGGTACTGTGAAACTGATCTAATTAATTTGTTTTTGGCCCGAACATAATATTATAACTAAGTGACTCTTTGTATGATTTTTCCAAAAACAGAAATGACCGTGCCACCCAAGCATACAGCGCCGTGCGTCCTATGCCAGCCAGTAAAGTCTTTATGACCTTTGACCAGCCCTGGTGGTTGCAGAATGAGAGGAAATCTTGGGTCACCAAATCAGACACGCTTTTCAGGTACGAGTATATCTGCATGTGTGTGTGTGTGTGTGTGTGTGTGTGTGTGTGTGTGTGTGTGTGTGTGTGTGTGTGTGTGTGTGTGTGTGTGTGTGTGTGTTATGCTTATAGGTATCTCGTTTTAAATAGACGAGTTCTGAGGCCACCCTCTTTTCATCTTCCTCTGTACAGCCAAATGTATGACTGGCAGAAGTCCAAGGCGTCCGGAGATTACATCCTGATCGCCAGCTACGCCGACGGCTTCAAAGCCCAGTACCTGCGGGAGCTGAAGAACCAAGGAGAGGACATCCCAGGCTCTGACCCCGGCTACAACCAGGTCACTGCACCCCTCAAGGACGCCATTCTTGATCACCTCACTGAGGCTTACGGTCAGTACCTCTCTTTGTTCTGTTTGTTTACCTGTTACTCTACCTTGTCAGTAAATTTCTCGTCAGGCCAAGTCTACATGATTTTATTATGTCTGTCCTTCTGGGGTTTAGTAATTCATATGTTTGTAACGTAGCACTGTGGAGACTTTGAAAAAGAAAGGATATAATTGTATCAAGTTATCCCATTATCCACCTTTGTTTTTCGTCTGTTGGTTTTTTAAAAATAGTTTTTGTTTTGTTTTGTTGTTGTTGTTGTTTGTTTTTTTGTTGTTGTTTTTTTGTCTCTACCTTTCACAGTCCGTTGTCACGGAAATTAATTGCCTTCCTGGAGGAAATAATCCAGTTTACCTTATCTTTCCAACTCTTCAGAATCTCCACCTACAGGGTAAATAACACCACCCTAAAATGTGTTTATAGGTGCGTTAAGCTTGTACCATTCTAATCAACACCACCATGTCCCTTCCCTCCTCCCAGGCGTGGAGCGAGACTCGATCCCAGAACCCGTGACTGCTGCCTCCCAGTTCTGGACAGACTACCCGTTTGGCTGCGGATGGATCACCTGGAGGGCCGGCTACCATTTTGATGACGTCATCAGCACCATGCGTCGCCCATCACTGAAAGATGAGGTCTACGTGGTAGGATCGGACTACTCCTGGGGACTTATCTCCTCCTGGATAGAGGGCGCTCTGGAGACATCCGAAAACGTCATCAACGACTACTTCCTCTAAGTCTGCGTCACCACATTGCCATCTCCGATATAAGGAATAATGCTTGTGTCTGTTTTGTTTGTTGCAACTGATGGAATATAAATATGAGTTCTTTAAGGTTTGAGTGTTGAGTCACCGAATGCCATGTTTTTCATTACATGCTAAGAATTTTTCCAACATGTTTTATTGTAGATGTTAACATATACAAATGCTCACCACGATAAAGATGTTTCAAACATCACCCCACCAATATTGTGCCATTTCTTGGGAAATGTTTCCTTCCCACTTGCAAAATAAAAGACTAATAAAGAGCAAATAATGTATAACAAACAAGAGGTGGAGTTTTTCTCTGAAACGAACATCGATCATGGACTGTGAGATCATCACTGCTGATATATTCCTGTAGCTAAAGTGTGTCTGAGAGCCAAAACGTGCCATCTTGCGACTGCTGGAGTAACATCAAAATGGCGAGTCTTGGCGTAAAGACATGTCTATCTGTCTATTTATCTATCTATCTATCTATCTATCTATCTATCTATCTATCTATCTATCTATCTATCTGGCTATCTACGAAGGGGGTTCAAGACGTCTGTGGTCTAATTATGAAAGAATAAAGATAGATTTTTGTAACTTGGCACACATACTTTCAATTCTCTACATAATTACCATGCAGAGTAACACATTTCTGCTACCTCTCTTTTACCTTCAAAATTCCTTGAGAGAAAAATGACCCAGAATGGGCCCCTAACCAGTCTTAAACAACTTCAATGGCGTCCTCGTTGTCACGAAAATGACGTCCTTTTAGAGATTTCTTTTAGATTAGGAAAGAGAAAAAAGTCCGAGGGGATTAGATCTGGAGAATAAGCTGGGTGTGACAGGAATTCAAAGCTACACTGTTCTGTTGTCTGGACTGCCTGTAGTGCTCAGTGCGCTGGGATGTTGTCATGCAGTAGGAGACCCCATAACGGAGTTTTCCACGTTTTTTTTCTCACCTATTTGGACCACAATTTTATCAGCAAACCCGAGTAGTAGTCTCCTGTGACTGTTTTTTCATTTTCCAGGTAGTCAGTTATGGGGATATCTTTACAATCCCAGAAACACGACAGCATGACCTTTCCACTTGACAGTGTTACCTTTGCGTTCTTTGGTGTAGGAGACGAAGTGGTATTCCATTGCATGGAGAACATTTTTTCTCAGGATCAAAATTATGATGAATCCATGTTTCATCCATAGTCACCATGTTTTCAAAGAAATGTGTGTCATTGGACTCAATTCGAAAGAGCATTTATCAGGACTCAACCCCCTGGGAGGTTTTGTTGTTGTTGTTTTTTGGAGTTGTTTTTGTTTTTGCTATTGTTGTTGTTGTTGTTGTTGTTGTTGCTTTTTGCTCACTTGTCAAAAGGCGAGGTACTCACCGTGCAGACATCGTATTCATGTTAAGATGGTCATGGGGAATCGTTTCAATTGACCATACACTGATTTTTGTTTCACTTGAGAGCTGTATATCAGTTATACGTCGGTCTTGTAGAACCAGTTTCTTCATTATGAATACATTCTCTTCAGTTACCACAAAGGATGAGTGCCCTTCACGATTTTATCCAATACCGACATGAATTCAGATTTGAATTTTTTTACCCAGCGTGCCACAGTATTGGAACGAGGATATTTTACATCATTAACTAGAACCGTAGAAAAAATCAAAGGGGATTTTCTTTGCAAGTGTAAAAACTTGATAACTGAGCAATATTCAACAGGCTCCATGAAACAGCTTCAGCAAAGAAAAAAGACGTTTGTGTCCATGGTTTCATTGAACACGCTGACTGGTGCCTTGTTATTGTCGGATTTTCTTGAAACTCTGCATGTTGTGTTCAACAGAAATTGTCTAAAGGCTGGCGAAATTCCATTACTCTACCATGATTCCTTCATACCCAGACCAAAGACTTATAGAACTCTCCTCCTTGTGATCTTGCTATTTAGCTATCTATATGTCTATTCAGTTCAAAAGAGTGACCAAGAGAGAGAGAGAGAGAGAGAGAGAGAGAGAGAGAGAGAGAGAGAGAAAGAGAGGGGGAGGGAGAAAGAGAGAGATAGAGAGTGTGGGAGGGGGGGGGGAAGATGTATACAAAAATTGCTTAAGATGAGTATGATGACAGATCTGAGCGTAATTTACAACACAAAGAGATCTTGCTATGGAATGGCTTAGTTCTTTCTAGTAGGACATCTTCCTTCAATTAAAACAGAGGATCAGTCAGAAAACAGAATGTTTGGAACAGAGGGCAGTGTTGGTCGCACTTAAAAATTTACTTACTGATCCTTTAACTTCTTATTCTGTCTCAGCTCCAAATTTAATGTGACGTTAAAATGGGCGACCCATTGACAAACACAGGAAAAATAGGACTACTGAATAAAGCCAGCACAACCACGAGGCTGTTGATTGTTATCAATTCAAAGGAGAAAAAATGACTGACCAATACTTACACTACAAAATCACCCCGACAGAATAACAAATTATTGTAAAAACACGAAATTGGCTTTAAAAACACATATTTGTTTTCCAGGACAAATCGCCTTCAGCACCTGAAATGGGAACATTGTGTGTAGTTACAAACTCAACTTTTTCCTCTTCTTTCTAACCCAATAAACTCTGGTTTGCCCCGCTTTATGAAAAGTCCAAACAAAACGAACTTCAATGTCGATCTAAGGACATACGTGTAAACTGCTTTAAGAAGGACATCGTCTTGCAGCATGACAATGTCACACTGACCACAGTAAAACTGATGTACGATTTGCCCCAGGGGATTCACTTGTAAGGTTCTACCACACTCACCAGAAAGTCCGGGCCTAAATTCTTCAGATCATTACTCTTTTTAAAAACATCTTAAACGAGATTTATAAACAAAGCCTCAAAAAGAAAGAAGATCTTATTGCATTGTTTGTAATTTCTTAAGGGGGGGGGGTCTACACCTGGAGGCTATCTCGCTTATTACTCGACCGAATTTTACCACATTTCACACATATAACAAGCATAGTAAGGAGTCTTGAAATCCGCAATCAAATTTGAGAAAAAAGTTTCGATTCCATGGATACGCCGCCATATTGGATTTTATTGACATGTCTTACATAATGAATACCGCACTTATAGCTCATGGAAATTGATTGCTTTTTTGCATGCGTGTTTACAAACATTAGATCTAGAAATTTGTCTGTTGTTTTTTACCTAATCGAATTAAAACATTTTTAATGAATTTTTTCCTGAGGTAGCATTCAAGTTTGCGAAAAATCTGTGAAAATCCACACTCCAGACACCACCAACAAAAATCTATTCCATATATCAAAAATTCAACAAACAAATTTTTTGTATTTCCTCTTCTCTTCATTCTGTGAAAATTTCATGAAGATTGGATGAAAAATGGTGGAGTTATTTTAAAAAGTATAGAGAAAAGTAGCATTTTGAGAAAACGGCTGATAAAGAAAAATAAAATACTGACTTTATGAGGAAATGGCGGTTATAAACATGCGCGGTATTGGAAAAAACACGATTTTTAAGGGTTCTTATGCCATGAAATAGTTGTAGGAGACGCTGAGGAAGCTAAAAATGCCTACAACTCAAATTCCATGATTTTGAGCCGAATTTTGATTCTTGAATGATGACACAGCTGTGCGTCTCTTTCTCTTATACGACAATGGCAAACTTCACCTTCAGGGAAATCGCTTTAAAAGCTAAACTAGATAGAGTGAGTTGCTATTATACTGAAGCGAGATTCCACTGTGATTAAATTATCATTGTCCAAGGTTTGACCCCTTTGACCTCAGTAAGGGACAGCCCTCGTACTTTGAACAGCGCTGTGTCGGAAATGAGGAACTGTACATATCATTGAATGAGCCAGACACATCACGGGAGAACAAACTGTTGAATACTTGATCACGTGACTAGCGTGAAACAGGTCATGTTGTCATGTATTAGTTACCTGTAAAAAAGAGAGAGGGAGAGAGAGAGAGGGAGAGAGAGAGAGAGAGAGAGAGAGAGAGAGAGAGAGAGAGAGAGAGAGACCTTCTGGATTCAAAATTTCTGAACCGACAGAAAGCGACAAACATTGTGGTCCGACATAATATTAGCGTTATTATAGTTTATAACTATGTGTGTGCGAGTGTGTGTGTATTTGTGTATGTTTGTGTATGTATGTTTGTCTTCACGTGTGTGTGCGAGTGTGTTTGTATTTGTATTTGTGTGGCGTCGGTGGCCTAGTGGTTAGGCTCTCGGATTCGCAACCGTAAGGTCGTGGGTTCGAATCCCGTCAGGGGCCCGATGTTGTGTTCTTGTGAAAGGCACTTTGCACACATTTTTCTCACTCCACCCAGGTGGAAATGGGTACCCGGCTATAGACAGTGAACGATCGTGTCAGTTTGATAGTGTTTGAGCGCGTGAAATCCGCAGCTTGCACTGTATGCTTCCGCGGAAGCCGAGGATGTTTCTGAGTGTTCTCAGAGGGTCTGCTGGGGTAATAATAGTTGTAAAGCGCATAGAGCATGCTCTTGAGCATGGATATGCGCTATACTATAAATGCAATTATTATTATTATTACTTGTGTGTGTGTGTTTGTGTGCCTGTATGTGTGTTTTCATGTGTTTGCGTGCGTGTGTGTGTGTGTGTGTGTTTGTGTGTGTGTCTGTTTGCATGCATGTGTGTATTATGTGTGTATGTGTGTGAGCAGAAATTAAAACATGATCCTTCTACTAAACGTCTCGTGGAAAGACACACAAGTGTCACCCACCAACAAACAACACCCGTCCGATATGATAACCTCACTTTGGCATTATTTTATGCGTGTGTGTGGGGAGGGGGGAGGTTTCAACATCATAAATAAAGCCCATGAATATTATTTTGTTTTTTATGTCTGTGCAGTTAGTATTTTATGTGTTTTGTAGTGTGTGCCGGAGTGACGGAAGAGTGACGGAGGGTGAAAAAGATCAATAGAGAAACACACACACACACACACACACACACACACACACACACACAATCACACACACACACACACACACACACACACACACACACACACACACACACACACACACAAATACACACACATGCGCAGACATATAAACTCAACACACAACACACATGTTCACACAGAGAGAGAGAGAAAGAGAGAGAGAGAGAGAGAGAGAGAGAGAGAGAGAGAGAGAGAGAGAGAGAGTACGCGAGAAGAATGTACGAGTGTTCACATTAAACCACATCACTGTTAGGGATAAACAAATAACAACAAAGAGGCCACACTAATGTATTCTAATGCACTATCAATATTGTATATATAATTTAGTCTTCTTTGATCTTGTTTCAGAATTAGCATTGTGTAACAAAGGGGAGTAGGCAACATAAATACATTATGTTGTTCCTGTCACACCCGTAAACTATACTGAAAGAAACAACCAAGAAAAACCCACACAAAAAAAAGAATAAAACCACACACACGCGGGCAACAGAATGAAACACTCAGCACTTTATGGTTGTGTTCTTTGTGACTAGTTTTGCTTTGTTTGTTTCGTTTTTTTAATTCTTTTGTATTTTTTATGGTAAGTCAGAAATTAGGGAAACTAAAAACGCTCTAGTGTTCTACTTTTCCATATAATTTGTTTTTTTTGGTTTACGTTTTCGTATGTGCGTTCCTTTGCCTTATTGTGCATTCCCTTTTCATCTTTGTTTTAGTTAACACTGAGTTTACTCCAAACCCATTCCAAAAGTTGAGAACGGAGAAAGAAGTGAGGGAGGGTTGGGGTAGGTGGGGTATGCACTGTCCTCTTGATGTAAATAATTATTGTTCTAATCTTAGAACGGGATGACACACGCTTACTTTTCAGTCCATCCTTCACTGAGTGTTTTCCATTTTAATTTTCCCCTCACTCCCTCTCTCATTC